CATGTCATATGAATTACCACTTCTTCGCAAAATATATTTTCATTTTAATCGATGTGTTGTCCAATGTTTCGAGATTAGAGTTTATGGTGGTTTCAAACAAGATCTTAATCCAATTGTAAATCAGATACATGCACCCAGTTGTAGTTACTGTCCATAAAAAATCTAATTTATATTTTAATATTACATTGGAATGAATTCTGCTAGGACCATATGTATCACAAATCCTTGAAATAAATTTAATATAATCTTTGAATTCAAAAGGTTTAACATAATATGCTATACTATAGATCTGAAGTTTATGACAAACGCTAATATAATTCTGACATTTGTGTAGTTACTTAAAATTTCAAGACATTTATTAAGTTATATTCCTATTAGTTTGCAAGCATTTGGTTCAGACGTTAAATCTAATATTATTATTATTAGCATTATATTCTTTTTAAAGGGATATTAAATAATAAAATTTTTGTGAAATTAAATTTTCTGTTTTAAGGATTAAAATTATAATATTAAAAGAGATTAATGTCATCACTGGTTAGGCTCACAGAATGTTGTTTTGCTACAGATTTACGAGGTTTCACAAATAAAACTCACTTTTTAAAAACATACACTATTCACTTATATTATATTTAATATTTTATTACAGACTATAGTTAATGATTAATAGAGAATAACAACATTTGATTGACTTACAGTTAATGTCGGGTAAAATTACGCCATAAATCCATTAGATGAGAAAAACACAAAAATACAATTAGTTGTCACATAATCGACAAGAAAAATAACCCGGAGTAAAGTTTAAGGAATTAGTTTGAAAATTAAAAATTTTCATTTTAAACAAAGTTACAGAATTGTCAATACATTTGCCATACACTTAGTAATTGGTGTTATAAATAAATTCTTTGTGTGCTTCACGTATGAACTGAAACTCATTGAGTGTTATCTTTTTTCAATCACAAGTCAAGGACTGGTCTATCATTACATTCAAATGTATGACAAAAAATAGTTTTGTGCTTCAGTTGATTGTGTCGATCCAAAGGCACAAAATGTTTAACAGCTCCCTATCATCTCAACCATACTATAGACCAGAATTATATTACGGAATTGTATAGCGATTCTGATTGCGCGCACTATCCCTATGTGTTTGTGTGCACTGGTATGTCATGTGTGTTAGCGTATGTGTGTGCGGGCATGTGGTCAATATTATTAATAGAAAACTATACCAGATTATTTCTTGAAACACTATGAATATAAAATAAATTTTAAATATAATTTATTTAATCCTTTTATCTAATTGTTTGTATTTGAAGTCTAAACTTTATAAACCATACAATGCATTTATTTCTATTCAAGGAACTCCTACATATTATAAGAATAAGTATTTCAAAGACAAATTCATTGGTGGAGACAAAATATTAATATAATTTTGCAAAACATAAAGAGAGAAATTCATTGAAAGAGAAAGACAATAAATTCTTTCATACAATTGTATTATTATTTAAATGCATTCTTTTGAGACAAATCCCAGAATCGCTTCCAGAATATACTATTCAATAAAAGCATATTTATATTTCTATACTGTATATGAGAGTATATGAGAGTTATAACAAATTGTAGGATTGCTTGGAAATCTAATTTAAAAATATTAATTTGCTTATGAATGAGTTATAATTGTACTCCTTTATACTCGGTTAAATAAATTAATATTTTTCATTTTTATTTTATGATCGCCACACTATTTGTTATATAATTTTGTTTAATTATAATATTTTACAAAATAATTTTGGATTTAATATTAAAAACACATTTCATAAATCAAATATAGATAATAACTATAATTACAGATAGATTTCTCTAAAAATAACTCAAATTCAAAATCGATTAATTGATTTGACATTATGTTTATACAATATTAATGAAAACAGTAATGATTTTACTTATTAATTCTAACACTATACTATGAAACAATAAAAACAATTTTATATAATTAGTATTATTTTCGGTAACTAACAAACAAAATATAATACAGAATTAATTAAATAAATGAATCTAAAATTATTTTTCAGCTCTAGAAACACACATAATTTTAAGTATTGAATATTAAATGTAATCATTCTTAACTTGATATAGATGTTCATGTTTGTAGTTATATTAAACATTTTGAAACTAAAAATAATAATACAATAATTCAAATCATATTTACATAAAAATTGTTATATATTTCATGGATTTCGAAATACTATATTTACATTTGTTGATAATTATGGTACATTTCTGGAAAACTTATTTTCGCACACATTTCGCTTTAAACCAATTATTCACTGAAAGTTTGAAAGAAATGTCAGAATATATCGCAAATACGGAATATTCTGCTAATGGAGACACTGGTAGTGAATATAAAGACTTAATTCATGTCTTTATTTACATTCTTCGCAAGACTTTCCATAAGATTTATTGTGAAAATTCATTATAAAAAATATTCACATATAGTTTTCACTACATTAAAAACAAAAATATTCTGTGAATATTCTCAAATATTTCACAATAAAAGTATCTGAAAATTATAAAATAGCCAATTTTTGACAAGTGATCGATTGAACCAAGTTTTATTATATTAGGTGTCAAAAGTTAAAAATAGTTTGAAAAATTGTTAATCGATTTATTCATTTCTAAACATTTAAGCATTGTGTGAGAAAATATAGATAATGTACAGGTATTATGATGCCTTATTTATTGCTACCGTAGTTTACAATTCTCATACTTTAATCGCTATAATTATCAACAAATGTCAGAGTTTGAGAGACAGTAATACTAGTGTCTAATGTGGGCATCAATTAATGGGTATCTTATCTGAATTCATATCAATCATAATTTGTTATCAATTGGTTGTATCGATTAAAGATAGTGACAAATACTACTGTATTCACAAAAAGCAAAAACAATTCACTGGCTGTACTCAAATGACATCAGTTTATTTATCAATAAAATTAATTTTTAACATTTAAAGGCATCAAACATAATAAGCCATAAATAATTCAATAGACGTTTGTTTTGACACCAAATTTATTGATTGATGAGTTGTCTGGAAATAATGTCCGCCTGTCGTACGGGTTCTGGAACTCTATATTTACAACACTTGAGGACAACAGTAATCGCTGTATTTAATGACACTTTATGTCCGATCGACACATAGACTGGATTTTTACAGTCGCTGCTGGTTTTGAGGGCCACTCCTATCACCTCATCCGATGAGTTCGTAATCGGGAACTGATCGCCAACTTTGCCAAGACTTAGTTTCTGTCTCTTGTGGTCGTCTTTAACGGATTGATCCACAAAATTAAGATAATACGGATTTTTGGCCACACCTATGACCGCACTGTCCACCAAAACACCGAAATGTGAGGCCAAACCAAACTTTCGCGGATGTAATACACCTTTTAGTGAAACATAATTCATTAAAATCTTAGTCCCGACACAAGGTTGTCATAGCATACCATTGCCGTCAATAAGCCAAACCTGTGGCATAAATTGGGATCCATTTTGCTTAAGAGTATCGTATTCTTTGACCAAAAACGAGATCTCACGAAACGCCAAAAAGCCGGCGATATATCGATTGATTGGTTCAATGAATGTATTGTTTTTATAGACAATTTCAAAGTCATTCTTAGCGTTCAATACCACACAAGTGACACAACCTCTGGAACTGTCGCTCTTATCGTACGATATGTCGAGCCCTCCAATCAATTCAAGTTTATTCATATCGAGAGCCCAGTCCTCAGTGTCACAAACCACTAGTTTATCCCTCAATTCTAACTGCAATCGTATAAACTCTTCCGTCAATTCTTCGTCACTTTTACCACAAGAATCAGACATTTTTGGTATAATTTATATCAAATATATTAAAAACAAAATTATTAAAAAAAAACTTTAAAACCATTTATTGACTCAAAAGAGTTGTGAACCAATTGTCATGAGTTTAACACTTCTGTCGCTAATCTTATAATTGAATTGTTTGGTGATATTGTCACGTCTTGTGGTGATGTGAAGACATCCGCTAACGAGCGGTGAATATCCCGAAGAGGTTTTGTCCGTTTGACACAATATATCGCTTATATGAGCGATCGATACCACAAATCGGTTCACTTCTTCGTCGTCCTCTTCGGTGGGATAATGGGTTCCAATGGCCACAAGAATGTCGTTATGGAGACAATGGACTCGCAATCTGTGGACCAACTTATAGACGCTTAAGAAGTCGACGCCTAATGTGAACAAAAGGCTGATATCATCGACGAGTACCACACTATTGGCGCACAATTGAGACAAATGTTTGTCCAAATCGGCGGTAAATCTCTTGTAATCAAACTCCTCGTCTTCGGCCAAGACGTCAATCACACGAATGAGTTGTTTGTCTTTAAGAGCCGTCAAATTGATGCCAATCTTAGCGGCGATACTGCGATAGTGGGACCAACTGTTGGACAACAGGATTAGCAACAGATTTGATCCCTTTTTGGCCGAAGTGTGCACTAAATGGTCGAAAATAAATGCATGAGAATTGAAGTCACGATTCGTGAACACAAGACAATCGTTGGCCGACAGATCCAGCAGTGATGACAACTCCGCAGACATTACCACTCATTAGACAACAAACACAACGATTGCGACCAAAAACATACGAAAACTGCATTCAATTCAATGGCTTTGGGTTTCACACAACAGTTAATAACGTCACGAATAAAGCAATAGTTATTAACCCCCGACTCAAACCCCTATTCATTATAATCACATTTGTTTGTATCTATTATTGTTTTCTATACGTTATTCGTGTAGACTATCGGTAACCATAGCACGTGTTAATCACATTTTGTGCGCAAATGTCAACACAAATGAGGATTTGTTTTGAATTTTAAAGTTTGGTTTGAATTGTGTTTTAAACGTGTTTTAAATGAGTCGTGACTATCATCTCAATCGGTGACCAATTGGATCAACTCATGTCCAGTCATATGAATAACAGTAATCACTCGGACTCTCAAGACATGGACTCGTCTTCGGGTGAGTCCAGCGATGAGGAGATAACGGGAACCGACAGCCAGTCATGCGATAAGTCGATGTCCTCTTTGGACCTCCAGTTCACCGCCGAAGACAACAGAGCCCTCGCGGAAATCAACCGAAATAAGTTGAGTTCAGCGCCCCTTCACCTCAATTACCCCCTCCGGAGGAATCTGAGGCCTGAGCAGAGGGCGGAGGCGCTCAGCGATGGTCTGGTCATCAAAAAAGGTAAATTCAGTCGCGAAGAGGACGCGATTTTGAAGAAGAATTGGCACCAATTCTGCGACGACTTCCCGGTCGACACTCCGCACCTGTATTTGGGTTTCTTCACCTATACTCGTGAGACGGATCAGCACGAGTTGAGAGCCGCGCGAGAGGTCGTCAAAGCCAGTGAACTGAACCTACGGCTGGCCAGAGGTCTGGCCGACCGCACCATCGCTCAGGTCTATCAAAGAGCGCGCAAAAAGTTTTCGGGACTCAATCGGACCGCGAATCTGACTCCGGAGGAGAAACAACAGGTCTATGACTATCACTTGAAGGGCGTGAAGAAGGCACAGATCGCGTCCTCACTGTTCTGTACGATGAGAACTGTCGGACATCTCATTCGCCAACACTTTAGTAACACGAATAGAGTCCTTAAGAAGGACTACTGGACTCAAGAGGAAAGCGATCGACTCGTGTCCGCCATTCGCATTGATATGAAGAGGAATAAAACCAATGATTACTCAGAAATAGACTGGAAAGAGGTGTCCAAACAAATGGGTGATCGCAGTGAATGGCAGTGTCAGCGACACTTCAGGACTAAAGTGTATTATGTGATGTCTAATGGAGATATGGATCGGTTGAACCGGTGGTCAGTGAACCACTCGCGACAATTAGTTTATTTTTTGCACCGGAGTTCATATGAAAACGAGTTACAGATTGATTGGGATAAGTGTATTATGTGATGTCTAATGGAGATATGGATCGGTTGAACCGGTGGTCAGTGAACCACTCGCGACAATTAGTTTATTTTTTGCACCGGAGTTCATATGAAAACGAGTTACAGATTGATTGGGATTATCTTAAAGACAAGTTTTCAGAGTATGGCTTATATTTTGAGTTCATTCAATTCAATTGAATTAATACTCAAATTAATTATTTTTGTAGTGTCTGTACATTCCAGACGATGTGTAGGAACTGGTATAATCTGAAGGCAAAGGTTCACGATTACAATCTTAAGACATACCCAGAGATCGTGGACTCACTGTACAAACGATACGTTGGACCCAATGATGATATGGAAGAATTGGAAGAGTTTTGCAAATCGTGACACCAGTACACCATTCATTGATTCATATTTTACCAGATATTTTATTTCATTATTTACTATACAGTAATATAAGTTTAACTATTATATACCATAGATACAATGGATTTGAATAGATTATTTTAATTTTTAAGTTTTTTTTAAGTAAAGCATTTATCTTGGACATAATCATTTGATTTATTTAAATACTTTTCATGAACTGTAAATAATTTGTTGAGAAAATGTGTATTTAATATATAGGTTAAATATGACTAAACTTATTAAAAACAAATTAAAAGTTAATTTGCAGTTGTGACATAAATGAATAAATTGTTGTACCGTTAATATGGATTTTTGTTCGTGGTTACATTCAAACTATAGTTCCTAACTATTCAAACATGCATGCATATCAATTTTTGATAATCAAACTACAGTACTGGCAAATTAACGTTAGTGATTCACCATGTTGCAATGCTTATATGATACATTAAGTGTAAATACTGTAAATGAGTGTATTTTAATATTTATTTAATTATTGAAATTAGAAAATATCGAAATCTGTGAAAGTAATTATACAATATAGCCTTGATGACAACTGTATAGAAATATCATTAACTATAAAAACTACTGTAAATATAAGTGTCATTGAATTGTAAGTAAAAAATCGATAAAAGGAAACATTTATTAAAGGAACTATTAGTAGACTTTTTTGCATTAATAATATTCTTGAATAGAATATAATATTCTTAACATTAAGTTCATTATATTATGAATAAAAAAAAAGAAATCAATATTAAAAGCATTCACTCCAATGTCGTCGACCTTAACCTTAAGTTTTGTTACTTTTGTCGCATAGTATGCAAACCAATCGTGTGTTGAATAAAACGATTGTTATTCTCATATATTATTCTGAAATGCAGAGAATCTGTATATAAATAATTCAAGTTTTTACTGAATATTCATTCTTGTGGTCTAATCTGAAAACTATGGATAAGTTTTTGTTCTTAAAGTACTCTCTTATCTTCGTTCAGATCTTGACTCTCATATCATTTACACTATACTTGAGTCATGTCTTTGAGGAGAGTTTGGATAATCATAAAGTTTTGGAACCAAATATCGATGACTATATCGATGACAACCAGTTATGGGAATCGAGTGAGTCTTTCAAACAATATACAGATTTACTAAGTATTTAGATTAAAAAATTATTTATTCATAATCACTAGGAATGGATGGTTTAGTGGTGTTTGGATTCCTACTGTTCCTCTATTGTGTCATTACTTTTGGAGTATATTCTGTAATCGAGGAAAAGATCGGTCGGATTCTTGTATTCNATCTGATTTGTGGGCCGGGATCTCAACCTTCTAATGTGCTCCACATTCCAGCAAAATTGTCGACGTCTCGCAATTACAGCCAATCGTCTGGTAATCGCACCGGTAGTCGGAGACGCCAATCGTCCGGTAATCGCACCGGTAGTCGGAGACGCCAATCGAGTGGCGTTTGTCATTGGCGTGGAAACCAAGGACCCATTAATCATATCCATCATCTCGAGTCTCATGGACACCGACTGTACAGCCCGTCCAGCCGAGCCCTCCACCATTCGTAATGCCATTGAGTTTGACGGCTGCTCCTCGAGTGTGGATCTCATGGCGTCGAGAGACCATCGGATCTCTTCGGTGATAGGATTGGTTTGCGTGCGACAAACGGGACAATTGGACTTTGTGTCAAACCATAGTTTAATACATTGCTTGTGGAACTGGTGGTCACATATCAACTGCATATTGCTTTCTTTAGTGCCCTCATTGAGTCCATCCAAACAAATGGCACAATCATTCTCATCCATTGCCTGCTAATTGACAATTATTCAATAAGCTTGATCATTTAAATATATCATTACCGATTTATTAGTCGATTATAAAATAAATAGTAAATTGATTTATACTTTTAATTATATTGTAAAGACTGATATACACTGTTTGTCTTAACTTTCATTCAAACTTAATGTGTGTCGAGCATAGAGTGACTAAAATGAATGTAAAGCCTAATTTGAAAACTTAAGTCTATTTGAAAAATAAAATCTCTTCACTCATCAAAAAAACCTTTAATTCAAACTTTTCCAGAGATTTAAGTAAACCTTAAATCAGTTATACTGCACACAACTCACAAGTGAATACGTTTCCAGCATAATTGTTTGAAATGTTATTGTAGCAACATTATTGTAAACTTTCATTACTGTATTAATAATGTATCAGTAATGATTAGTGATTATACTAACGTGTAAACATTTAAGTTAACTAAATGTTCAACTCGTATAAATCTATAAATGAGTTACAAAATCTATCATTTATTTGAGAACTTTATTACTAAAAATTTCAATACAACACAAAAGTATGGAAATGAACACAATTGGATAAAATACAGAATTAAAAAACATTATTTAAACTTGAATTGAAAACAAAGTATAAGTATAGTTTAAGCATGGTCAATCTTATACTATAAAGTTTGGATTATAAGGCAAGTTATCGGATATAGTGGACACACTTTTACTTAACTCATTCACTCGAACACTCATTAAGTTATCCAAACGTTTTAACATCAATAGGAATATAATTGTCAGAGAAGTGCATATGATTTCGAAAATAACAAGCAACTTTTTAGGGATAGTTAGGCCGTAGANTGTTGATTAATAAATATTAAATATATATATAAAGTTGAGATAATATTTGCGAATAAAATATACAGTTATTTGAGCAATAAATAAATTCTCAATTTAGATGTGAATTTGATTAACGCCTATGTTTTCATATGAAAGTAACTCACCAAGACTGAAATATTTTAAATAATTTTTGGTGTTAAATCGTATTTCACTTCATTGTATTTCGACTCAATGATTGAAATACTTGAATAATAAAATGGGCTAAAAGTGAGAAGTGATTGAGATTTGAAAATCAGCATAAACCCAAAACTGGTCAATAATAAGAGTAATCCAGTAAATAGTTGTAAATATTGTCCTGTGATAACATTGATAGACATCAACCATATTATTAATAAAGCACTGAATAGTGCGGAAATCATTAAACTACTTGTAATGATAGCATAGAATCCAAAAAATATAATCAAAATGAGGAACAAATACAAGATTATGAGTGAAATGTGAGAAACATTTTCATTTCCAGTTGAATATCCTATGAAAAAGAAATGTTAATTTTACGAATTATCTGGTTTTAAGACTCACCCAATAATTGATTTAAAAATAATGAGTTAATTATAAATAGCATGATGAGTAATAACTCAATTGATATCATTATGATTACAATTATATTTATCAGAATATTTGTGTTTAGAAATTGTCCATGAATTTTTAAATACATGCTTTTGTAGTTTACTAGTTAGTTCACTTAAACTCAAATCATATACAGTATTTGATATTTTATTAAATGCAATGAATATCATTTCATATTTTAATTCACATGATTTTGCAAATGTTTTGTCATTTCATGTCTACTGTCATAATTTAATGGAAACAAATGCATTATTATCATAACAAATTGTATCTATTATACAATCAATTGTCTATAAACATGGCATAACATTCACATTAGTGTAAATATTAAATGATGTTAACAATAATCCATGTTTTATTGCATAATTATTTAAATTATTATCACAACATAAATGTTAATTTAAATAAAAAATACAAACAGTAAGTCACAATTTAAATATTTCACAGTAAATATTACATTTCACAAATTGTTACATTTGGCAATTAAAATTATTTTCACAAATTCTTTAATATCAGAATATAGATATAAATCACAAAAATATTTTATTACAATTTTGTATTTTGCAAACAAAATCAATTTATTATGAATTCATTCGTGAATATATTACTATACTTATTATTAATAAAATTATTTTTATTGATTATTTGAAAATACAAGTTTATGTAATGATAAATTTGCATAAGATATGTAATTATATCGTAGTTTAAAATATATTTTTATAGTGATAAAATCGATTAATGAATTTTTATATAAATCATACTACACTTTATAATAGTGTCGTCCAACCCAACTGTCCATTTGTAAAGGATTTGCTATTTTATATAAAAAGTTGCTTTTTATGTGCGAATTCTTCATGCGTTTAGGACTTTGATAGTTTAAATGACAAACATTTTTGTCATCCCGACAGACAATACATTAAGGATAATAACATTATTATTATTGTAAACCATTTCCACGTTTGTACAGTCCATTCGTTGAATAGTTAACAATTGTAAAGTGTATGATATTTATTTATAAAATTATATTTGCCTTTTAAACGATATGCAATGTTTAATAAAGTTATACACTTACTTCTTAATTAAATATCTACAACTTAATGATTTCAGCTAACATGTAATAATATAATATAATGTATTGTAGTAATAATAATAAAATTCCTAATCCTGAACATAAACTAATGAAAATTAATAAAAACATTTTGTTTAAAATTGAATAAAATATTTAAAAATTATAATTTGAATAATAATGTGTAAACCGAGACGAATGTAATGTTTGTGATGATTGGAAAACTTATGCACAGTATTATTGCTATAAAAAATCACTAAACCTATTAAAAGTTAAAATATTTTATCTAATTTTATGAAAACCTATAACACATATACTCTATTTAAGACCACAAATTAAAACGAATATCAACTAGCTATAATAAATTCAGAAAATTTAAACAAACAACAAATTATATACTTTGGAGGGAATTTCTTGAAAAATTATATACTTTTATCAAATCGGATGTAAAATAAACAAGCTTTTAGCTAATTATGTTTGAGATGTATGTGCGCTCACAAACGCCAACGTGGGTGCACCGGACGGGTGATCTGATTTGTGGGCCGGGATCTCAACCTTCTAATGTGCTCCACATTCCAGCAAAATTGTCGACGTCTCGCAATTACAGCCAATCGTCTGGTAATCGCACCGGTAGTCGGAGACGCCAATCGTCCGGTAATCGCACCGGTAGTCGGAGACGCCAATCGAGTGGCGTTTGTCATTGGCGTGGAAACCAAGGACCCATTAATCATATCCATCATCTCGAGTCTCATGGACACCGACTGTACAGCCCGTCCAGCCGAGCCCTCCACCATTCGTAATGCCATTGAGTTTGACGGCTGCTCCTCGAGTGTGGATCTCATGGCGTCGAGAGACCATCGGATCTCTTCGGTGATAGGATTGGTTTGCGTGCGACAAACGGGACAATTGGACTTTGTGTCAAACCATAGTTTAATACATTGCTTGTGGA